TCAAGCGATTCTCCGGCCTCAGCCTCCCGAGTAGCTGGGACTACAGGCATGCACCATCATGCCCAGCTAATTTTTGTATTTTTAGTAGAGACGAGGTTTCACCTTGCTGACCAGGATGGTCTCGATCTCTTGACCTCGTGATCCACCCGCCTCGGCCTCCCAAAGTGCTGGGATTACAGGCTTGAGCCACCGCGCCCGGCTCCCAGGGCTGTGTTTTATCATCCCTGGATTTCTAACCTTTGGCATCAAGGGTTTTCTGTCCACAAGTATTTCGAGTCACTTCTCTGCCAGGCAGTGATGCCCCAGTCTTCTGGTACAGCCCCCAGCAGGTGTTGGCCAACGTGGGCTGCTCCAGCCCTGGGCTCATGGGCGCCTAATCTGGAGGGCAGATAGGCCAGAGACATGCTGTCACTCTGCTGGGGTGAGTTGGTGGTGGGCCCAGGACCCTCTAAAGCATAATAAAGGCACTCAGCCTAGGGCTTGGGGACAACTTCCTAGAATAGGTGGCACTCCCAGCTGCAGCTGGAGGAAAGAAGAGGCAGGACGGAAAGGCAAGCTGGGGCTCACAGATGCTTCCCAGTGAGGGCCCCCAGAACACCTCCACTCTGGACAGAGGAACGGCTCGTGGTGTGAGCAGCACTCAGGCTTGTCTAGAGCAGTGGCCTCTTCACATCAGGCCGTCTCTCAGCCCCTCTTCCCCACATGGCAGTAGATGAACTTCGGCATTGGTCAGGAAGAGAGAGCTTTGAAGTGAACGAGTGTATTAGTCACACACATACGCAGACCCTGTGCAGAGGCGCACCTCGGAGGGGCGTGCCGTGTTTTGCTTACTCCGCGGCACCATCTCCTGATCCAGCTGTTGAGTATTCTAAGCCCAGCAGCCACACCACATCTTGAGTTGAGTCAAGGTCATTGTGGTTCCCTGAGTCACTGGGAGGCTGCCCAGGGCCCCCAGGTTTTAAAGTGTCCTCTCAGTCATGCTTCCTTTCCAAATTCACTCATTCCACAAAGCCGGCGGGAGGCACTGGGCGAGAGTGGTGAGCACATCAGCTGCGGCTGCCTCCCACTGATGGGAGCGCACAGACCAAGGGCAGCTGCAAGGGAACGCTGGGTAGAGCAGGTGTGAGGAGGGCTGGGCAGCGGTAGGTTGGGCGGGGGTATTCGCCCAGCCATAGAGGTCAGGGAGCTTCTAGAGCAAGTAGAGGCAGTAGCCGAGGAAAGGGGCGAGGTGGAAAAGGATTTTCAAGACAGGAACAGTGTGGAAAGGCACAGACACAGGAGGGAGCCGGCAGCACGGGACGCTGAGAGGAGGCAGATGACACTCCAGGGAAGGAGCTCAGGCAGGGGAGCTGCGGGGCCTGGGGTGCAGGGGAGAGCCCTCTCGCTGTGGGTGGTAAATGGTGGCAAGGAGGGTGTGAGAGACCCCCCCCAGGAGAACAAAGCAACAGGCCTTGGGGGCTGGCTCCCTCCCGTACTGGGGGGGTGTGAATACTCAGCCTGGATGGGTGAGTGGGTGATGGCAGGGCCTGAGAAAGCCGACCAGGAGGAAGTGCAAGAGGATGCAGGTGGGAGAGTGAGCGGGTCCCAGGCTGGGTGCTGGGTTGCTGGGTGCTGGGTTGGGGAGTCTCTGAGGCTACCAGATAGAGGCTTCTGTGAGTGTAAAACATCAGGTTTGTTGCCCAGGACAGCCCTGGGCTGGGAATGGACGTGGCTGTCCTTGGAGCTGGATGGGGAGACGTGTAGGGCAGAGCGAGAGCAGCAGCAGTGGACCCTGAGGAGCACACGGGGAGGAACAGAGCCTTCAGAAGAGGAAGCCAGGGACTGCAGGGACACAGTGGTCTTCAGCACCCTTCACCTGTCTGCTCCTTGGTGCTCCTGGGGGTGGATGTTCCTGCGGGAAGCATGTGGGGGCGGCCCCATGTCCCTGATGACTGCTTCCCTCCGCAGAAGCCCCTGCAGCAGCTGTGGAACGCCATCCTGCTGGTGGCCATGCTCCTGTGCACAGGCCTCATGGTCCAGGCCCAGCGGCAGGCATCGCGGCAGAGCCAGCGGGAGCTCGGAGGCCAGGTGGGAGCCAGCCCCAAGGAGCCCCAGTGCCATGAGCCCCTGGGCCTGTGAGACCATGCCTGTTCTCTACCCACAGGTGGACCTGTTCAAGCGCCGCGTGGTGCGGAGACTGGCATCCCTCAAGACACGGCGCTGCCGGCTGAGCAGGGCAGCACAGGGTCTCCCGGAGCCGGGTGCTGAGACCTGCGCTGTGTGCCTGGACTACTTCTGCAACAAGCAGGCTAGTGCCCTGGGTAGAGACCAGCCATCAGCTCACCTGTGATGCCTCCCACCTTATTCCCGAGACCCTGGAACTACCCCTAACAGTCCCTTCTTCCAGCCGCCAGGGCTACAGAGCAGAATTTGGGGGTGTGGGAAGCCATGAGGTTTCAGTTCCCCAGCTGAGGCGAGGGGCATGGGACCAGGCACCCCATGTGGAGTCCTGCTTCGATGGCCTGAGCCCTTCCTCCCCAACCTCTGTAGTGGCTCCGAGTGCTGCCCTGTAAGCACGAGTTTCACCGAGACTGTGTGGACCCCTGGCTGATGCTGCAGCAGACCTGCCCATTGTGCAAATTCAACGTCCTGGGTGAGCACCAGGGGTGGGGGCCCTCGGCCTACTCCACCTGCTCCTCACCTGATGCCTCCCTCCCTGTTCTTCCCCTCCCCTGCAGGGAACCGCTACTCTGACGATTAACTGCCCTGCTGGACACTGCACATGGGGATGGACCCTTCCTGCCTGCACCTTGGTCCTCAGCCTGGTTCCCAGGACAGAACAGGATGGGACAGCAGGACGGACAGGATAGCAGGCCCAGTGGGTGGAAGGATGAGGGCCCCACCATGTCCACACTGGGAAGGAGGGCCCCACAGCTTCAGACTGAGGATCTAGGGCCGGGACCCGTCAGTCAAGGAAGAGAGGTCACTTTGGGACCTTCTCTGTAATCCTGGGACGAGAGTCTGCCCTCCTCACAGGCAGCTCCCAGGTTAATAGGAAAAGAGAATATGGGGCCAGTGCGGCTGTCCCCAGGGTTCTGGGAGCTCCCTGTGGCCTCTCAGGGAATCCCTGGGGGCTGAGACTGCAGTGGCCAGGCTGTGTGCTTATTTATTGGAGGGTGGGTTGAGGGAAGAGCTGTCTGGCCTTGGGATACCCTGGCCTGACCATCTTCTGGGATATGTCTTTGTCAAGGCTGTGTGCCTGTTGCCCTTGGGTGCCGGGAGCCATGGGTCCTGCTGCCTGTCCAGCCTGGCTCCCTTCCTGGGCCTAGCTAGGACCAGAGGCCTTAGAAACCATCCTGTCCTGGACTCCTTGGCTGCAACTTTGTGCTGCTGACCGGGACACTCAACTCACAGGATCAATGTGGTGCATCAACCAGGGGCATCCATTTTTTTTTTTTTCTAAAGAGTTGGGGTAGGGAAGGTTTAATAGTAAAATAAACATGGCTATATTTTAATATAAGATGTAAAATGTGTATGGATGTTTTAAGATTTAAAAAGTCACCTTAGGTTCTACTGCCTGTGGTAAATGGAATTCTAAGATGGCCCCCAAGATTCCCACTGCCAACCCACCATGAACATGCCCTGTATTAATCTAATCTCTGGAACTGTGACTAAGGGATTTTATGTTCATGGTTGGGTTATGTGGTACGGCAAATTGACCTGAAGAAAGGGAAAGTACTAAGTGGGCCTTGGCCTAACCACATGAGCCCATTAAAAGTTGTTTTCTCCTGGTACAAGAGGAGGAAGTCGAGGATTTAAAGCATGTGGGGGATTCGGTGCCTAAGAAATTCTTTGTTGCTGACTTGAAGATGGAGGGAGCCCCATGGCAAGGAAAGTGGGCAGCCTCTAGGTGGTGAGGCAGGAGCTGGCTTACAGCAGCCAGTGAGGAGATGGGGACCTCAGTCCCGTGGCCACAAGGATCGGAATTCTGCCACCAAGTGGAATGAGCTTGGAAGTGGATTCTTCCCCAGAGCCAGCAGAAAGGAACACAGCCTGGTAGATGCCTTGATTTCAACCTTCTGGGACCCTTAGCAGAAAACCCGGCCACACGGAACCTAGACTTCTAACCTCCAGAACTGGGAGCTAATGAATACACGGGTATGAAATTGGTGGCAGCCTGAGAGAGTTGCTCAGCTGTGAGGTTGTTCCCCCGGACTTGGCCACAGGCCTCCTGGCTCAGGGTGCTGAGGGCTCGTGCTCCCCTGTGAGGGGGGGTGCCTGGGCCCCTCCGAAGCAGGAAATTAGGCTGACCATGGCCCCTCTTGACCCTCCTCTGTGAACTGAGGTGCTCTGATGGCCTCTTCACCAAGGAAAAATGCTTCAGGCACCTGGGAGAGTGCACACTGAGAAGGCCTCAGCAAGTTTTTGGAGACCGTCCTTCACAGGCAAGTGGCTCAGGGCAGACTGGTGGCTTCATGAGGAAAACAGGAGCCCCGGATGCTCGGCTGCATGGCATCCTGGGCTGGGGAGGGGGGCAAGGGACAGGCACGGGACAGCCAGGGCTGGGAGGATGTCCTCTGCTTGAGGGAGGCCTTGCCCTGCATTCAGTGGCCTCCTGGACTCTGACCTCCAGAAGTTGGAGAAACCTTCATGATGGGCACCATTTCCTAAAGGAGAGGAGTTCCTCAGTGAAAGGAGGCTTACCTCTTGGGTCCTTAATGTAACCAGTGCAGGTCCAGAGCCAGGGTGGGAGGCTGAAGGCATCGCTCCCCTCTGCCTGCCTCAGAAGTCCTCAATGGCCCTTCCTCTGTCCACCTTCACCTGACACCCATCTGAGTCTGTGCAAGACACTGAGCCCAGGTTCACCCCTGGGCCCTTGCTCTGGGGATAGAAAGACGGCCCTTCACCTGGCCCAGGTCCTAGGAGCTTTCTCTGCCCTGGGTGTACTCTCCTATCCCACAGTCTCTGTCAGGAGGGAAGCAGGAAGGCCCCTTTTACTGAGGGCCAATAGGGCTAGGACTCTGCTGGCTGATGACCTACATGGCTGGGGACTCAGTGGCCCCTGCCCAGGACAGGGAAGGAAGGACTCTTTCCCCAGCTCAGCCGTACTGTGAGGCCAAGATTGCTGTGGGCGATTGGCTGGGCCTTTATTACAGTGGGAGCTGCCAGCCACCTGCCATCCAGCCCCAGCCCTACCACAGGCTACATGGGCCGCTCCTGGGGCTGGTGTGCAGAGCCGGCCTGGCCCCAGCCAGGTGACAGTCTCCTCTTCAGCCTGACCAAGGCCCTGATGGGGCTCTGGGTAGAGGTGGCCGAGTGGGTCACATCCTCCAGCAAGGACTTGCTGGGCTGGCTGCAGGGCTGCCGAGGTGGGGATGCGCGGGGCTGCTGAGGTGGGGATGCGCGGGGCTGCTGAGGTGGAGAGGTGCGGGGCTGCTGAGGTGGGGATGCGCGGGGCTGCTGAGGTGTAGAGGTGCGGGGCTGCTGAGGTGGGGATGTGCGGGGCTGCCGAGGTGGAGAGGTGCGGGGCTGGCTGGGCGGGGTCCTGTCCATCCTGCCGCCAGGAAGGTGCTGTTTGCCCAGGAGCCTGAAGGAAAACCAGATCCAAGATCCTCTGTGAGTGCGGGGGATGCTCCACCTACCTGCCCTGCCTCTGGTAAAGCCTCACTCACCCTGGGGATGTGCTCTGGGTCTGGACTGGCGGTGTTGCTCCCGGGGTTCCCTTGCTGGAAAGGGACAAGAGCTGGTCCTGTCGGATCAGCTACAAAAAAAAAAGCCGGTCTTAGAAGGGCCCAGGAGTCCCCTCCCCACTGTACAGAGAGGGTGTTGTAATCAGGGATGAGGAAGGAAGGCCTGAACGCATACCCACGAGCCCTTCCACCTGGGGAAGGGCCTAGGAAGCCTTCTAGGGCCTATTCTCAGCTGCAAAACCTCAGGCAGACAGCAAGTGTGGGGAGGTTTCTTTCTGGCATGGCTTTTTTTTTTTTTTTTTTAGAAACAGGGTCTCACTATGTTGTCCAGGCTGGTCTCAAACTCCTGGGCTCAAGTGATCTGCCTGCCTTGGCCTCGCAAATCGTTGGGATTACAGGCATGAGCCTCCACGCCTGGCCTGACAAGGCTTCTTGTTGCACTTAAAGGCATGAAGGGCTATAGAGGATATGGGATTGGAAGGTGCTGGATCCTAAACATCCTCACGCCTTCTGGAAATGTGAAAAATGTTTCACAAAAGCACAGCCTAAGGCCTCATGCAATGAGGTGGGCTCCCATAAGTTCCTGGGGCAGAGTCTGAAGACCTCTGCTGGGTAGGGGCTTCCTCCTGTTCCCCAAGGGCCTGCCCTCTCAGGCCTACCTTGAGGCCACCCTGCTGGGCCACTTCCCGGATTTTGGACAGCATTGATTGGAGCCGCCCGTTCTCCTCCTGTAAGACCTGGATGCGGATGTCGTTGGCCTGCACTTGCCTCTCCATGTGATCTGTGACGTTGCCAGAGTCTGTGGGACATGGTATCTGGGACTCCACCCTGCTCGATCTGCCTCCTGTGCCCAGTGGGACAGGACCTTAGGAGGGAGGCATACCAGCTTGGGTGGGTGGCCCGGCACCTGGCCCAAGGGAGCTATTAGTATACCAGGCCTCTCATCTCACCTTCCTTTTCCTGAAGCCTTGTTCCCACCTCCCTGTCCCCCTACCTGCTGGGAAGATGACTATTATATAAAATTTCAGAGCTGGGTGGGGCCTAGAGCTCTCAAAAGACTTAGCAAATAAGCAGAAGAGTGAATCTCTTCCTAGGCCCCGTTTCAGACAGGCCAGAGACAAAATGAGCTGTCCAAGGTCACAGCCAGCTCAAGGGTGGGAATGGCAGGAATTCGGCAAGGCTGCTCTCTCCCCTGCTTTTGTGATGGATGCTTCCTTCTGGCTCCATGAGCCTGGGAGAATTGCTGCCCCTTTTGGTTCAGTTTCCTGCTTTGTAAAAAGGGGCTATGACCTGCCTCACAGAGTGGTTGAGAAGGGGACAGAAGGGCCTGGATGACGTCTTATGGGCAGCTAAATTGCAGCAGATCTTCCTGCCAGCTCTGTGAATGGATTCGCCCCAGCACTTTAGGGGGCTGGAGGGGCTGGGAGAACCCAGGTCACCTGATATCCAGTCCTGTGCCAAGATGGGTACCTAGCACTTCTGTGCCATAGGGTCCAGGACAGCAGGCAGCTGGGGGCTGTCATTGGAACTAGTCCCATGGTGTGGTTTGGGGACCCATTCCAAGGACCAAGAAGGGGGACACAGGCAAGTTGAGCAAGGACTGGCATGTGACGTGGTGAAGAGCATGGGCTGCAGGGACAACCACCTATGTCTGGATTTGGCTGTCATGACTAGAGGCAGTCACATCACTATTAGACTTTCACGTCCCTGTCTGCACAGAGTGGATAATGCATGAAGTGCTTGCATACTGTGGTGGGTCCACAAGGGCTGCACTGCTGGCCGCCTGGCTTTACCACCCTCACTATAGGCTTGGGAGCTGCAGACCCCAGTGTCCTGCCCACGAGCCCTCAGCTGCCGGTCCTGAGCCCTGGCATGCCCTTGGCACCATCCCCAGTCCCCTACCATGGATCTGGGTCTCGGTGGGCTGGTGCAGGTCTGGAAAGGCCACCAGCAGCCGTTCCCGCTCCCTCAGCTCTACCAGCTCCCGCTCCCGCTCCAGGATGGTCAGCCGCAAGTCTGTAGTCACCTGCTCCAGGCCTTGCTTCTCTCTCTGCAGGCTCTGCAGCAGCTCCTGGGGCAGGAGAGGCTCAGGCCTGGCTCCTGAGTGAGCCACATGGCACTGAGCACCCCTGGGGCACCATC